AGCGGCTAACGGAGAAATGCTCTTGCGTGGAGTGACGCGTAACGAGCAAATGCATGAACAAGGCACCTACCTGCACGTGTGCACTCTGTGTGTTGGCCTACTCGGCGGCGAGTCAAACCGCATTGCTGCGCTCGACAATAGGGAACTCCATTCCGCAATGGCTCGCCTCAAAGACACAGAGCCACATGCCAGGGCAGTGGTTCTTAACCTGGGGTGCACCCACCTCCTGGGGGTGCGAGATACCCTCTGAGAACCCAACGGGGTGCTGGCTGCAGTGAAGGTTAAGAACCACCTGTGCTGCGTGGACAGAGCTGGGATCGTGGCGAGGCCTTATGCTGGGCGGTGCACGGCCACGCACATTCTCGGGTTGTCCAATGAGATTCAGAATATTCAAGCCATTGGGAATTAAGGTGAAGCAATGCTGAGGTCTGCAAAGTGGCGGGTGCAGGCGGTGCAACTGCACCGGGGGAACCACGAGGTCGGAGGGACCCAGGCGCCGGACTGCGACGAGGGGCGAGGCAGGATCAGAGGGGGTGGGGGGAGGTGGAGCGGATGAAATTGAACGTGATGCCCAATTTCGTGCATTCATTCATTACACCAAGCAGAGGTTATGCCCACCACGCTATATGCCACTGGATATTTCCAGCCACCGTTTGTGTGTCGGCAACAGCGGCCACATTCCCCGTTACAGCACGCGGGGTCAACCGCTTAGGTGCAGTCAAAGATGATGAGAAAAACTTGCTCAGGTACAGAGCGGCGTCGTCGTCGTCTTTGACGGTGGCGGCCGGGGGGTCATCTTTGTATCGCACCATCTGCTGCTTCTGGACAGACCTTGTCACGTCTGGCATTCGCCATGCACAGCTGCACGCGTGAGAAGAGCCAGCAGCGTCTTGCTGGGGATATATCTGCTTGTCCGGCACGTGTCAGATATTGGCACTTTAATGCATGAACGGGCATCGTTTTGTGTTTGCGTTTCTCCAACGACAATGTTGACGAGATTGTCCCCGCAAATCCATGAGCCAATGTGCAGATGTCCTAAGGCTCCACGTGGTGGCAGTAGAGACCGTGTCTTAAATAAAAGGACTGCAGCATTTGGTTCACAAACATGAATCTGCTTTCTGGACAACTCTTGTGAAGGAGATAGGGGGATGCTGTCACGTGACGGCTGTTTTTTTATTAGAGACAGATGAATACTGTCCTGGTGTGATTCAATAGCCACCTAAAGTATAACATGCGTGTCGGTTGAAGTGCTTTGAAGAAAAAAGAAGAAAAAAAAGCCAACGATCTGCTTTAGAACAAGTGTTTGTTTTATTTTTCGATTTAAAGCTTTCGTGACTGCAAGGATTCATCTTCTTGGTTCTTTCGGTAAAGTCACCACGTAGAATGGAAATAAAATAATATAATAAAATAAGACTTTACCGAAAGAACCAAGAAGATGAACTGTGTTTGTATTCGTCTACATTGACAATGATACAGAAAGCGGAACAAAGGCTGAAACTTGCGCAAAGCGGCGTGCAGGGGGGCGCGCTTGGAAGCACAATAATGAGAGACAGAATGAGGAATACGTGGATCAGAGAACATTCGCGAAGCAGACATCGCGTTACATGTTGATGAAAGTGAGCGTAAGCAAGGCACGTCCCACGAACTATTTTACTGAACTATTTTTAACCTTAGCAGGTAAGGCCCACTGAGCTACGTAGCTCTTTTTCGGAAGCGACCTGGCCACAAATGATAGCTCCACGAAGTGGCTCATCGTGTGGAAATGTATAGCAGCCAAAATACTATAAACGCGTGATGTTGATTCTAAATGTGGAGGGAAAAACCGGAGGTACTCTGGAGAAAAATCCAAGCGACCACGGGGAGAGAGAGAACATGCAAACTCCCAAGTATACAGGCGTTAGGGTCGGGATCGAACCCACGACCTCCTGTATACCCGGCGAGGGAGTGAAAATCTCCTGGCCACCGCGGCGCCCAGAAGGGACGATGGCCAGTGGTCGAGACTAATGACGGAATGGTAGCCAATGATGGAAGCAAAAAGCACGCGCACAGGAGAACGTCCAAATGGAGCGATGAGGTAACCACGTATGCGGGAGCTCGATGACTCGTTGAACGTGAGGGGTGGCAATAGTTTGGAAGAGGCATTCACTTAGCGGTGAATAGATCAAGACCGACTATCAGCATGATTTGAAGACATATTCTTGGTTCTTTCGGTAGAGTCACGTAGAAGGGAAACAATAAAATAATAAACATATAAAACAATACAATTATCACGACGTTTCGACTGCAACACAAGCAATCATCATCAGGTGTGAAAACCACAGCAAGAAAATTTGAAAAAAGTGGCGGTTTTATTTTCAAAATTTCTTGCTGTGGTTCTCACACCTGATGATGATTGCTTGTGTTGCAATCGAAACGTCGTGAGCATTCTATTTTTTATTTGTATTATTTTATTATTTCCCTTCTATGTGACTTTACCGAAAGAACCAAGAATATGAATCCCTGCAGTCACGAAACCTTTAAATCGAGATTTGAAGACACTTCTTTTCGTGGCCAAGTGTCCAATGAAAACTAACCTCGAAGGGCTGTCAATCGATCCTATTTGAATTGTTACATAATCACTAAGTTTGAAAGTAAGGTCCCATTACCACTTCATGTCTAGTTGTTGAAACGTATATGAGGCTCATTTAGGACTATTTTTTTCTCTCTTGGACAAAAGCTGACATTGCTACACTGCATTAACAAAACCCAGATCCCTTGCTGCTTTGCGATGTGGATTTTGGCATTGCCTTTAATGAAAAAAACAAAACAAAACATTAACTAACAATTGATGGAAAGCAAGCAGCTCACAAAAGGCTGGAAAAAGTTCAATGCCGTGCTTTTTGACCGCCTTAAAAATAACTCTCAGCAGCGGCACCGCGCCACCTCCGACGCGACGTGCGTTTTTAGCCACCCAAAAGGCAATTCAACATTCGCAACACGTGTCCCATTATTGTGTGCCAAGAGGGCGGGGGAGGGGGCCGGGGCTTGTTCCTTCATCAGAGGGGCCGCGCGGCCGCGTGGGCTCGGAGAGGCATGGGAAGCGCCCGGCCTTCCTAACCTGCCGCTCGGGGACCGATTCGCCGGCGGTGCGAGTCGAGAGACGCCGTCACTTTGTGCCACCGGCCGGAGGAAGGAAAGCCGTGCAGACAGGAAGGCTGCACCCCGCGCGGCCGCGGCTACGAACGTCACTGGGCCCCCCTCGCGAGGCCCCGGGCCAGGGGGTAGGGGCCGACCCTGCCCCCTTGGCCGAGGTCACGCCGGGCCAGCGCCGTGGGATGCCAAGGGAATTACTCGGGCGAAACACGGGAGACGAGGAGGCATTTTGCTCCGAGAATGTCCCCTCCCCTCGCCTCCCCACCATCGCCCCCCCCCACCCTGCACCGGCCACCTACCTCACTTTATATTTTTTTTAACAGGAAAATAAAAGCTACAAATTTTTTTTATCATTGCAACAAAAAAAGTTTTGCAATTCAAGTTCAGGAATTTTCAATAAATGTATTCTAATACTGTACCGTATACGTATATGTAGCGGCGGCGCAATAGATGCGGCACTGCACTGTGAACCCCACGCCCCGAGTTCGATTCCTCGACGCGGCTAACGCCAGTGGCGAGTGGCTTCAGAGCCTGCCCCGGGCTCCCGTTCACCAGTCCGCAGTGACCACCGTGAAGTATTCGCGGTCAAACAGTGGCACGGCACGGCGAGGCCTTTATCCAAGCAGTGGATTGACAAGAGCTGTGCATTCCCTTTATATTATACGTGAGCAAAAAAACTAAAGTTATATCGGTGTTATGCAAGTACGGCTCGTTAAAAAGTGCCCAATTTGTTGCTGAAGGTTTGTATTCAAAGCGTAATCGTAGATTTAATTTCGTTAAAATTTTCTTGGTACGATTTATGGTTTTGTCACATAGTACACGTGTGTCTTTCTTTAGTCCGAATTCTGTAGACCACACCTGAACAATCGGGTGTGTTACGTACGGTATATGAAAATGTATGAGACGTTTGGGTTACATTGAGGTCCCACTTACAACGGGGGACGTACAATGTTACGCATCGATCTGTAGGAGGCGCCCCAGGACCGTCGTGACGAAGCCATTCCCCTCCCCCCCGCTGGCACACTCCTCTTCTCTGAGCCAAGACGTCGTCACTCCTGTGCGTGCAATATTTAATGACAAGGGTAATGACACGCGACATGTGAATTCGAGCCGGCGGTGCGAGGCGCGATTGTGGCGACCGCGTGCCTCGTACACGTCACGGGAACGCCACACAACGCAACAACAACCAGCACCACCGCGCCGAGTGCAACACGAAGCCTCATTTTCAGGCCACCGGCTCACAAAAATAGGGGGGGTCAACATTGATGTGTCAAGACCCACCACGGTGGCTGGCCAATAACCCCTGGATATATGGAGGGGAATACAACTCAACACATTCCGTCAATAACACTGTGGCCTTAAAATAAAATAAAAAATAGGCGATGGTTTGAGCTTCATAGCACCAAGGGGCCATTGCCCGAAACGTCGTCTATGATATATATATTTTTTTCTTTTAAGGCACTTTTATTGACGACTGTGTTGAGTTTTTGTTCTGGTTCTATTTTCCTTGTGCACCACAACCTATAATAATTAAAATTATTCTAATTTAAATTAAATAGTAATTAAAATTAGTAATAAAATTTTATTTTAATGATGTCGAGGGCTGCAGAGCTTGGAGAAGGAGTTTGGCACCGGCTCGTCACCTGGCTGCCTTTGGTTCCTCACAACTTCCATGTCTTTCTCTCTCTTTGGGAACAAGGGAATACTATATGCGCGTTACATGTTTAAATACTTACTATTACTCCTACTTTATTTATTTTAATTTTACCACGTAAGGTCCACTGAGCTAATAAGCGACTTGGCCACAAATGATAGCTCAACGAAGTGACTTATCATCTGGAAATGTCTAGCAACCAAATACTCGTAAGGCATTTTGATTCTAAATGTGGAGGGCGGAAAAACCCGGGGGGACAAAACATGCAAATTCCTAAAATACAGCAGGTGTCAGGGTCGAACCACACGATCCCCCTGCATACCAGGCGAGGGAGATAACACTCCTTGCCACCACAGGCACAGTAACGTAATGTCCAGCACGCCATCCCATTTGCCGCACATCACTCTGACACCACGCTCACTGCAGGAGCGGCCACTTGATGTGCTGCTTGGCAGTCTGCATGAGCTGCAGAGAATGAGAAGCACCAAAGGAGAAAGAAAAACAAGCACAAGTTAAATTTTGATTTAAAGCTTTCGTGACTGCAGTAATTCATATTCTTAGTTTTTTCGGTAAAGTCACGTTGAAGAGAAACAACAAAATAACAAAATATATATAAAACAATAAAAAATTGTCACGACGTTTCGACCATAACTGATGATGACCGTTTGAGTTATGGTCGAAACGTCGTGACAATTTTTTATTGTTTTATATATATTTTGTTATTTTGTTGTTTCTCTTCAACGTGACTTTACCGAAAAAACTAAGAATAAGCACAAGTTACTTTAAAAAAATGTGATGTTCTTCAAGTCAACTCGAAACACTTCCTGTCAATGATGAGACACTAATGTGATGGGCAGTGGAGGCTGGAGACAAATTAGAGTAACAATGCATGCAAAAGGTGATTTCAAACAGCAAGTAAACAAATGTGGATACATATTATTGGTTCTTTCGGTAAGGTCATGTAGAAGGGAAACAATAAAATATTATTGTTTCCCTTCTACGTGAATCCCTGCAGTCACGAAAGCTTTAAATCAAAATGTGGATACAGTTTTGTCTCTTAGTGGCCTAAAGCTGTGCTGCGTGAATTAAACATGCAGTATGGTGACAGTCCTTGCATCATGCCTTACATGTGTAAGGCATGATGCAAGGACTGTCATGTGTAAGGCATGATGTGTAAGGCATGATGCAAGGACTGACTCAGTTACAATGAACTTGCCTTTTTCTGTCGAAAAAAATGAACAATTGCAGATATTTGCATTTGCTTTGTGTTTCAAGGGTAGCTAAACATGAGCTTGATTTAGATCTAGAGACAGGGTTTTTTCTTCAGAATTGTCCTCATGGGGAAGTTTCATTAACTAATCAATATCTCATTCCCAAAAGACAAGTTCTGACTTTTTGGCATCCTCAGAGTTGCTGCTATGATGAGGCCCTACCAAAAAGTGTCGGTACAAAATCGAGAGTTGCATTCTCTAAAATCTAAATTCTACGACTTTGTGATGCATTCAACCAACGCAATGCAGACAGGACACGGGATTCACTTGTTACTGGGCTAATCTGTTGATGCATCCTCTTTGTTTCTTTCGGTAAAGTCACGTAGGTATAAAATAAAACAAAAACATCTTTTTTATTTAAATTTATACCTAAAAATTTTATTTTATTTTAATTTATACCTACGTGACTTTACCGAAAGAACCAAAGAGTATGGATCATTGCAGTCACGAAAACTTCAGATTTAGATTAATCTGTTGATGGACTGGCGGTGGCATTGTCTAAGTTTGCAACAACAGCAACAGACGTTCACAACTCACGGTGCTGATACTGGCACGGGTATCGGGTACAAGTGTGGCCAGCTCACATGTCGAGCTCAGCCTTAACTGAACGTCCAGGTGGTGCAAGACGGGCGAATTAATTGAACATCTGGGTATCGAGAGACAAATAAATGTCTCCCTGCGCACCAACAAAAAAAAACAACCCCCTTCCTTTGACCGGGGCTCTGCATTTCGTCTCAACTGTTTCACTCTCCTCCCTCTCGGTGCAACTCCATGAACATGAGTGTACCGTTTAAACATTACTCAATGTTTATTTTTTAACAAGGCCGTTTATTCTCTGGAAACATTTTAACCCTCGCTGTCCTCTCCTCTCTGTGAACACGACATCATGGCACTACCCCTCCGAGCAGCCTTTCATCTCGCGGCCGTTGGCATTACGCAGCCGCGGAATGCATACCTGGGACATCGTCTGTTCCGTCACAGGTATGTAGTTAACCTGTTATACGATAAATAGTGGGCACAGACACATAATATTGAGGTTAGGCAAAAGCAAGGCATATAAACGTTGCTGGTAATAACAGTGACGTAGCCGCTGAGTGTGCAGGCGGTGCAACTGCACCGGCCTCCCCATTGCATGGAGGCGTCCGCCAAGCCGTGTTTGTCCATGGGGCCATACTTCACCACCGCACACCTCTCAGCGTAGCTTGGTGAAGGAAAGGCCCAGGGCCGTTTCAGATATCGCTCGCCAACCACTGATGTTAGCCGTGGTCAGGAATTGAACTAAGGACACGAGGTTCATGGCGCAGATCGCGAACCAGTGCACAACCGCTTCCGGTCTTAAGCGATTGTTATAAAACGTATTGCAAAAAAAGAGTTTAACTTCTGTTTTTTAAAGTTATCCAGTAGTGTTAGGGCAGTGTTCTTCACCCATTTTCAGAATTAGGGGGGAGGGGGGGGGCACTTTCGCCGATGAGACATCATCAGTGTGCGAGGGCCACCACGCATTTCAGACAACCTTTGGGGGTTTTGACAGGAGCACGGTGATGGGTGGGGGAGGCGGGCCACTATTGACCCGTGGACCTTTGCAATGAAGAACACCAATGTGGGGGGGGGGGGGGGGGGGGGGTTGAATGGGGGCGGGGGGGGGGTGAGCCAGCAACCACCTTGGGCTGCAGCCTGCTCAGGACAGCCTCAGCGTCCACCTCCAGCACCACCCTGCGCCACGTGACACACACACACGGGGGGGTGGGGCGGGGGTCCATGTCCAGATCCAATGAGGTTAATAGTTCACAAGTTTACTCACAGTCGTACAATTGTTAAATATTAATCAAGCCTGCGATGTGACTGTGGCTCCTCTGCTTTAGCCAGAATGTGGGTGATACTACAACAACAACAAAAATACATCTTTACATTTTCGAACTTGTGTTTGTGGGCTCCGAAAGGTTAAATCGCGCCCATGAACATTTGCATGAAACCGAACGGACATCACAATGTACATTTTTGCAAGATATACAGTACAGCAAAAAAAGTACATTGTCAGCAGAGGGCAGTGAAGCAAAATATATTCCATTGCTGCAGTGTACTAAGCATCCATGCGTCTGGAATTCAACCAAGCATCACTGACGAACGTGAAGAAGTATGGTCCAATAATCCGCCCCCCTCCCGCCTACGATCCGCACCAGTGCGAGAAAGCCCTTCATCTAAGTTTTTTGTGGTTGTTGTTGTTGTTTGACTTGCATCCCATCGGGATTTTTTGCACAGCGTTGGTGTACGGTGCTTTTTTCAGGAATATTTTTGCTGTGTTTTTTTCCATGGATTTTCTGTTTGCACAGTCACATAGTCACTTTAAGATGTTTTTCTTGTTCGTGTTTTTTTTTTTGTTGTGGTTGCACCCGATTCAAGAGCCGAATGGCTCACAGGGCTATACCAAAATGAACTGAAACTGAAAAAAACTGAAATGTACAGAGTACTGTAGTTTATGAAAGTGTTTATCTAGGCGAAGCCTCCGGGATAATGAGTCTCTCGGTCTTTTTTTCTGCAGAATGGCCTGCGTTGGGATGTATGAACAATAACTAGATTTGATGCTTTCGTGACTGCAGGAATTAATCTTTGTTTTTTCGGTAAAGTCACGTAGAAATAAGAAAAAGAAAAATAAAATTACATAATATACGACGTTTCGATTGCAACACAAGCAATCATCATCAGGTAGAGGAAACACATAACCGCAGATATATATACAGACCTCTTAAGTAGGGGGAATTTAGCAAAATTTGCAAACTATATAAAGCAACACAGACGGTCGGTTAAAACACAACCAAACCATGCGATGTGTGACGAGGAGGGGGGGGGGGGGTTGAGAAATGTGACGTCACATCAAAATGCCCAACTTTAAATAAATATAGACAACACGTTCTACTTAATTAAATCAACTTTTGAATAAATGTTTCTACTACAACCTCAGAGTGCAGCGCCACATTAAATACGCACAACAATGGCAATAGTTTAAAGCGATTTGAAGCATGTTTTATATTTTATTTGGGGGGGGGGGCAGAGCTTTGTGCGTCATATTTGAGGGGGGGGGGGGGGTCCTGACTTTGTGTGACGCCGCGTGACGACGGGGGGGGGGGGGGTTAAAAATCGTCCAAAATCGCGTGACGTCATTTATGGACGGCCCCAAAGCGGTTGTACGGCTGCCTCCGGCGTAGCATCGCACAAGGCAGGATGCTGCTGGATGCTTCCAGATGCTGCACACGCGTCTAGGTATTTGTTCAGCCTGCGTACGCACCTCACGCGTGATCACGGACTGTGCTTTACCCCCGTGTTGTATATCACAACGCGATTTTCCATAACGCGATATTATTCAGGAACGCAACTACAGCGGTTTAGGAGAAGATACTGCGACTCAGCTGGGCAAGTGGGGAATGGCAGTTGAGATGAGCCCAGTTCCATGACTCAGTGTGCGGGCGTTGTCTTTGGCATTTCAGAAACTAAACCCTGTGTAGCTGATGCCGAAGATTTTCTTTCCCGTGCAAATGTCAGAGGACATAGTATGTATGTTGAAATTATTTCGCACCGTATGCAGCCAACCGCGCTAATGGAAGGCGCAGAGGAAGGACAGAAAACTAAACACAAAAAGTGGTTCGAACAAAAATGAGTTTTCAATCGAGATTTAAACGTGCATAGCTCCAGTGGCTTCCTAATATCGGAAGAAACATCGTTCCAGACGGCCGCAGAAGCACGTCCTGAAGCGCGCTATGCGGTGCCCATCTTTGTTCAATGGCCAGGGGAAAAGCTGCCACCGTGAGGATGATCGGAGCTCGCGCGATGGTTTGAATGTCCTCGGGTGATGCAAATGAAATTTAATTTAACGCAGAGTGTACATCACGCACATCGGCGGGCCACGAGCTGCAAAGATCCCACCGGCATTGGCCTCACCAGTAGCAAAAGTAGCAACATATGTATTAGCTACAGGCCACGCACTTTCAAGGGCCCCGCGCTAAATGCTTTCAAGCTATCAATGCCGGTTCAGTGATTCTGCACTTGCTCTATCACTATAGTAATATACTGCCTTCAGCTTTTATGAACGACTGGGTGTTTAAGGTTAGCCAATTGTCGTATTATCTGGCTGTATAGCAAATGAAAAAATACAATTACTTTACTATCCAAGTTCAAAATTTGTGTTTTAATATTTACGTGTTTTTTGTTTTTATTTAGGGCCCCTTTATAACATAATGCTACAGGCCCCGCACTAGCTTAATCCGGCACCGCCTCACCCTCTATCCACGATCTCATCCACAGCAAGGAGGAGGGCGTCTATGTTATCCAGCACAGCGCTCCTCTCCACGCTCCTGTCGCAAACAACGCACGGTTCACAACTGGGTCATTCCACGGACACGCGCTGCCACCACCACCACCACCACCCACAGCTCGTGGGGCTTGTCCAGGCAAACAATCGCGCTTGGAGATGGGGGGTGGCGGAGATGGTGGGGGGGGTTGTTACTGCGTTCTCCACGGGAGCCCCGAGATGAACACCCTACATAATTTCACACACGATAGATCTTAAGAGCTGCAAGGAAACAAGGCGGTAACGTTAAATAAATAAAATCTAAGAAAGTGCTGCAGCGTGTTGGTTTTCAGGGCGAATTGCCGTGCTGCGGTTAGCGCACTGCCCTCTCAACCCGGGCACCTGAGTTTGATTCCTGATCATGGCGAGTGATATCTGCCCTTCTCCCTTTCCCCTGACCTTTATGAATCCGCGCTGACCAGCACAGTGAGGTATAGTACATACAAAGAGCGCCCGTATAGCCTTAAAAGACTGTTGGGACAAGTGAAGGTCGGTACGGCACACGAGGGGCAACACCACGCCCGGCCGCCTTTGTCTCCCCAGTGGTGATGCTTATACACCACCGTCACTGGTGTTGGCCGTGAGCGGGAATAGAACTCGGGTCGCCGGGTTTGTAGTGCAGCGTAGCGCTAACCGCTGCGCCACCGCTCTCCACAGGTCGAGTAAACAACCCCCATGACCGACACGGCACGGGGAGGCCTTCATCCAGCAGTGTATTGACAAAGCGCTGTGAAAGAGAGAGATGTGAGGGAAGGGTGACCGTACCCCAGCATGAGATTGAGCAGCTTGAGCAAGCATTCCAGCACCGACAGCAGCATGAGCTTGGAGAGGGCACAAACACAAAGACAAACACCCCCCCCCCCCCCGTAAAGCCCATTAACAGACTGTTGGGGCAAGTGGTGCAAGCGAGCACGGCGGGTGACCGAGACCACTCCCGGCTGCCTTTGTCTTTCCAGTGGCGATGTGTTCACAGCGCACCACGCACAATGCACCAAGCACTCGATGTAAGGCTGAGTCGACCTAAGGGAGGCCCCGGGCAGGTTCCAATATGCGCCACTTTTTTTTTATTGTGAGCGGGTTCGTAGCGCAGTGCGCTAACCGCCGCACCACCGCTCCCCGCACACGGGCCGACACACGGACCACACACAGGGCCAGATTGTTTCACGTGGAAAATTGCACGTTCAATACACATGAATTCTGTTTCCAAACGTTTGTTTTCTCATCTGCCTTCGACACTGAAATTATTTACGGATGCAGATTTCATATATGTGTTTGTGTGTGCTGTTGTTTTTTTTGTAAGGATATGTACTTGGTGTTACCGTAATGTTCTCACGTATGATATGGCTATCGCGCGTTGCGTGGCCGCTGCTGCACGTTCGTACCTCATTGCCGCACGATTCTCCCACCACATAGACACAAACGTCCATGCTGGGACGATACAGCACTGTGCAGCCCTCCAGCATCATCACCTCGTCTTCAGACACACCAAAAACAAAGACACAGACTGTAGGGGCAAGTGCTATTAGCGAGCACCTATGAAGGCCGGCACGGCACACGAGGAGGTGGGTGGCCAGCACCACGCCCGATCGCCTTTGTCTTCCCAGTGGCGATGTTTACACACCGCACCAGGTACTCATTTGAGGCTGAGTCGACCTAGGGGAGGCACAGGGCCGGTTCAGATGATCATCACTGGCGTTGGCTGTGAGCGGGAATCGAATTCCACACACACAGGCCATCGGCATGAAGCCCTTAATGTCAATCCACTGCTGGATGATGGCCTCAACAGCTGTTTGGGTTATAGATGTTATTTGACCTCCATGCTGGACAGTGCCAGTTGGAGAGCATAGTACAGAACAATGGATGTTTTTTCCACGCCACCCTCTTCTGACAATCTAGACCCGCAAGCAGCCTACAACTTATGTTTTAGGCACGGTGGCCGCCCATCCCAGCACCTGGCTCTAGCCTGCTTAACTTCTGATTATCTGATGAGATGGGGTGCATTGTTTACGGCATGAAGGTGGCGTTGAGGAATGGTTCAACCGAGACATTAAGAACCACTTCCTCATCGCCAACCCCCACCGTGTGCGTCTTCGTGGCCTCAATCGGCCACGCCGGCCACGGGCGTCTGCTCATCAACAGGTCCCGCACCGGCCAGGGGCCGCGTGTGCGCACCGACCTCGAGACACTTGGGCCCAACGTGGCCACAAACCCATTCTTTGGATGTGCTCAGCAATTGGTCGTGTGGCACACACTGTCCCCGAGTGGGCCCTCTCACCCAAACTCGATGGTGGACTCTAGGCCTTGCCCCCCCCCCTCCACACTGCTAATGAAACAGCAACACAAGCGTACGATAATAGTACCGCGACACAATTCCAGATTAACATGTAGTTACGTTACGTTGCATTTCCTTTGCACCGTACGTAGCCAACCGTGCTCATCGAAGGTGCGGGGGAAGGACAACAAACTAAGTACAAAAAGCAGTTCTACAGAAATTAGTTTTCAATCCAGATTATTTAAAAGTGCACAGCTCCAGTGGCTTTCTAATATCGGCAGGAAGAGCGTTCCAGACGGCCGCAGAAGCGCATCCGAAAGCGCGCGATGCGGTGGCCGCCGTCTTTGTGCGATGGTTAAGTCAAAAGCTGCTGCTGCTGCTGCAAGGATGGCCACCGGAGTTCGCGTGATGGTGGTTTACGCTCCTTGACCAGACCAGCAAGGGGATTGCGGTTCATATGTGGCAAGCAAATAATTGTTTTCCTTTAATCGAATGTCAGCTGCATGTAAACAATGTGAATGTGGCTGGGCAAGAATGACGGTTTTCAAGAATCGCTTTGTGCCTTGTGTTGCTCCACGCCATCGAGTGTTGCACGCGAAAGATTCACATTCATTTGGCAAACATAAAAAAGTACCTTTTTAAATTCATTTTTTTTTATGAAGCGAGTTAAAAAATTGTATGAACTTACTGTCTGTGTGTTTGGTTTTGGAAAAAAGTTTCGTTTCGAACGCGCTCTGTCTTTCTGGACCGCAGAAGGCGTCGTCATCAAAGTACTGTAAAGAAAAAAAACGAACGAAACACGCGGGACACGTTTTTTCGTCCTGGGAATATTTCAACATGTTTACAACAGACAATCTTCAGAAAAGTCAAACATACTTGCAGTTTAACAATAGGGTTTTTCCCCTTTTTTTCTGGCAACAAAACTGAAACCTTTTTACAAGGATTCATGTCTGCATTAACCACAATACCTGCAGTCAAAATGCAAACTAAAAACATACTATGATAATATATGCATTGTCCTTGAAACTGATTGGTCCACACCAAGGGACGGCTTTCTTTTGAGCCTCGACCCAATTGGTGCTCGACCAGATGACGCCAAAAGGCGTACAGCTTAAAGACAATGCACTATCAAAGTAAAAAAAGGTTTCAGTTTTGTTGTCAGAAAAAAGGGGAAAAACCCTATTCTTATATTTTGGTACTGGCAAAGGAGGTCTAATGATGTAGATACTTGCAGTTTGTTTGTTTGTGTTTCATGCAAGCCAGTTTACCGAGACGTAAAAATGGACGCAAAGCAAACAAATAACTTCCACAATTTAAGGGAGCCAGACACGCCGTGAAGCCTGTGCTAGCGATTCACCTTGCCATAGAGACGGTAGCCATCGCTGTCCAGCACCAGGAGGGCTTTCACCACTTTGAAAAAGGGCTCCTGAAAATAGAAACGTCGCATCTTCGTTGGTGTAACCCAGTGTTTCTCTAAATATTTTGTGGGCCGCTTGACCGCTCAGCCGATGCAAACCTTTCCGCCGACCGACACCCAGCGCCCCGCACCCCTGGTGACAAAACGCATTCGCTAATCTCTCTAAATACCACTATAATTCAAATAACCGGAACCTAGAAACATTATCTTTTAACGCAGCTATAAGTGTTTTTTTTTTTTAAAGCGGAGGGGAATTTATATGTGTAGCGTTAGGGTAGTTTACTCAAGGGGTAGTTTAGCAAACTTCATTTTTAAATTAAATATCATAAGTCAAATATTAATTAATGTCCGAAACAAAAGCTGTTAAACGTTGTCATTGTTGTCCGGGCCAACCTGCGCCTGCATCACAGCCCCTGCAGGGACGACTTGGAGGATCGTCGCATACCCACTGGTGGTAACGGGGACTACACTCTAAGAACTACTGCTGAAATATAATACATTCAGAATAAATGTGATTATTCGAACATCCAACCGTAAGAAAATTCGTGGAAGAGGTCTTATTTTCCAAGTTTTTTTTCCCATCCCTCCTATGAACAGAAATAAAATAAGGCTCTAAATCTTCAAGCGGCACGGTTTTTATGCATTCGGGGAACGAATAATTCCATGTTATTTGTTGTAACAATACCACTCCTACTACGAACGTCAAACGAAATGGACAGCGTTAATACTCTACCGCAGAGATGGGGCAATGGCGTCAGCTCGTGTACAGCTGCTGGGCGGATTGTCACATTGTGGGATAGGGAGAAACGGCGACAGCTTGTGGAGGCCTTCATCCAGCAGTGGATTGATCTTGACTGACGACAACAATGATGATGCATATGCGGCTATAAGGATAGTTTCATCATAATACACACGCGTTGCTGCCATTTACTTACTGATGTCATGGAAAGCATGATGTTTATTTAAACTTAAACTGAACTAAACTGTAATAATAGGTTTTTTCCCCTTTTCTCTGGCAACAAAACGGAAACCTTTTTACAAGGAATCATGTTAACATTAACCACAATAACTACGGTCAGAATGCAAACAAAAACACACTCTGATAATGTGTGCATTGTCCTTGAAATTGATTGGTCCACACCAGAGACAGCTTTCCTTAGAGCCTACGGTGTTTTTTTTGGATTCTGACCGTAGGTATTGTGGTTAATGTAAACATGATGCCTTGTAAAAAGGTTTCAGTTTTGTTGCCAGAAAAAAGGAGAAAAAACCTATTATATTTTGGTACTGGCAAAGGAGGCCTCATGATGAACGAAACTAGTTTTTATTTTACCAGGTAAGGCCCGCTGAGCTATATTGCTCTTTTTCAGAAGCGACCTGGTCACAAATGATAGCTCAACACAGTGGCTTATCATGTGGACATTTCTATGAGCCAAACACTCTAAACGCACGTTGATTTAAATATGGAGGGAAAACCCGGAGGACCCGGGGAACAATACACGCGACCACGGGGGGAGAGAGAGAGAGCTTGCAAACTCCAAATATAGAGGCGTCAGGGTCGTGATCGGGATTGAACCCACGATCTCCCGTATACCTGGCGAGGTATTTAACATCTCGCCCACCGTGGTGTTCATGCAACCCTTGGAACAAAAGGTTGCCAAACCGTCGCATAACCAGCAACCATGACCAGACAGGCTCACGGGAACAGAGACGCAATCCCCATCCCACGGTTCGTGCTGTTTGATCCCCCATTGCGAGCTGTCAATAAGCAGCCTCCAGAACACCTAAACCCCGCCACACCCATAGCTCACGCTTCCTAGCGCACACAGAGACAGAGACGCCTTCAGGGCTGAGCCAAGTGGACAATGAGGAATCACGAGCAGCTAACCAATGGCTGTACACATTCAACTATTAAAACTATGGACCTACAGTATTTTTTGTATTGTATCAGGTAAGGCCCACATGAGCTGTATATAGCTCTTGTTCAGAAGCGACCTGGCCACAAATGATAGTCCAATTAAGTGGCTGATGATCATGTGGACATTTCTAGAATCCAAATAATCTAAACGCATGTTTCGAAATGCACAATGACTGCCCTTTACGTCAATCAACGACTGCTGGATGAGTAGCTCCCCCCCCCCTCGCCCACACCATACGGGTTGCGGGGGGTAATTTCACCATACTTCACCACGCTGGTAAGGCAAGGAGCATAGGCGCGGGAGCATCGAGGTGCAGTACAACAATTTACTTTGCTGGCACACCACGTAGTCCCGCAGCAGCCTATGGCGACGTGTTTGTGCGCGGCGGTGGTTACCCATCCACAGCGCTGGCCAGCCTCAAGCCTGCTCAGCTGCCGAGATCGGACGAGGTAGGGCACATTCCGGGAGTTGTGTTCATAAGTACTGTACTCTTATTATTTATCGTGGAGGAAATAAATAAATAACCCCTCTAACCTCTCAAAACTAGCAATAGCGTCACGCGAAACATAATTATGTTTCAAATAGGAATTGACCACAACACTTTGAACTACTGTACGATTACATGCTGTATTGTTATTCAATATCTAACCCGGGTTATGTATACACATTTCCTACCATATGGCATTCTGTTGGTTAGCTATTTATTTATTTTGGTGTAAGCTAATCTTTGGTTCTTCTACAGATACGTCATACACTCTGTATGTGGACATTTATAGAATCCAAATACTGCTGGGTGTATGTTTACCATAATCCAATTTAACTGAACCGGTTTAAAACATTAACACTTTAGATTTATTTTCGTCCTCGGCTCGTTGTTATTCAATTTGGAGAGGTTGGCATGTTTGTGCTTATACTTTTATTTTTATTTGCTACGCTAAAGATTGACGCACATCACCATCAGCCATGATCAATCCACTGCTGGATCAAGGTCACCGCTCTCACGGTCCTATGACGTAACAATCCAACTCGCACCTGTACACGAGAAAGATTTAATCGCTCCATCTCCTGGTTAAAAAAAAAAAAAACATTCTTAAACGGGTGTCAGATTTTTTAATTAAAGTTGATTTTTATTTGTTACACGGATGATCCTGTTCAGCCAGTTACCCGGATATTTTACAATGGGAGATCTGTGGTGCATGAGCACGGCAACAACAAAAGCGGAATAAATATTGATTTAAAGCTTTCGTGACTGCAGTAATTCATATTCTTAGTTTTTTCGGTAAAGTCACGTTGAAGAGAAACAACAAAATAACAAAATATATATAAAACAATAAAAAATTCTCACGACGTTTCGACCATAACACCTGATGATGACCGTTTGAGTTATGGTCGAAACGTCGTGAGAATTTTTTATTGTTTTATATATATTTTGTTATTTTGTTGTTTCTCTTCAACGTGACTTTACCGAAAAAACTAAGAATATAAAAAGCGGAATACTTTAAACAAACAATATTCATAATAAAGGGTTTTATTGGGATTAGATCGCGTAAATATAAGTGTGTCGCTAACCCACCACCACCCGACACAGCCAATTAGTAAGCTTTGTCCCGTAAAACAAAGCGTGGCAATTAATTATTGCTTCAACACAAGCGGTTTGTTGGAGAATAATCCCACAAAGTGTACAAATTTATTACGATGTTTCGCTGGTGATTACAGCCAGCTTCATCAGGCGGTTTGTAAGCATTATGGGCACAGTGCCCTTAAGGAATATTGCACAACTAACAGCCTAAGTATTTCACGGTCGTAAGCGAAACACGATATATATTTTTAAAAGCAAGTTAGGCGCAGGTTGTAAGTAAGCTCTGGGTGTTGAAAGAATAGGGGATTAAATAGGGAGGGTGAAGGGAGGGAACCAAGCTGTTTATGAGCGGCAAGAGTATTCTAGACAAGTGGAGCAGCCACACGAACTTTTTATTTTGTCCAAACTTAAGTTTTAGCACGAAGGCATTTTTAGTCGGAATAAGGAGGTTCTGCCGAGGCTACGGGGGAGAGTTACAGAAACTGAATGGTCCTTTGGGTAACTTGCGTATTTATTTAACAGGACCTCTAGGATGGAGACAACCCAGTGGTGGTCTCTCTGGATATACAGGGTGGACAGATGTGAATTAAGCAAAGAGTATACATCTGCTTCACAAGCAATTGATCAAATTCTATGTAGGAAGCAGTAAACATCCACGACTTCCCCAAGGGTATTTCAATTACATGCAGTTTGATGCACAACTACATTATAAGTGTATAAAGATGGGGGAAATAAAAAAAAACACCATCTGTTACCAATGTCTCTTGCTCCATGTCTCTGTGGCAGAAGGTGGTGGTGGCCTCGTCCCTGTGCCAGTGAGCACTGAGCCGTGTTACCCTCAGGGGTGGAAGCTCGAGGAATGAGCTTCGCACAGGTGTGGGAATTTCCCATCGTTTTAAGAGAGGGGTGGAGATGGCAAAGGTTATTCGGGACACCTAATTCGACCGGAAAGTAACAATCCCACCCCGTGGCCAATACCTCACCACCACCATTTCGCGGTGGTGGCGAGATGTTAACTACTTTGCCTGGTATACAGGAGGTCATGGGTTCGATTCAGACCCTGATGCCTGTATATTTGGAGTTTGCATGTCTCTCTGCCCGTGGTCGTGTGGATTTTTTTGTCTCAGAGTCCTCGGTTTTTTCCCCGCCACATTTAGAATCAACGTGCGGTGAGAATATTTGGCTGCTGTAAATTTCGACGTGGTAAGCCACTTCATTGGGCTATAATTTGTATCCAGGTCGCTATATAGGTCAGTGAGCCTTACCTGGTAAAATAAATACAAATTAGTTTAGTTTTAGTTTTACATCACGTTGGTAGGTCTTGAAAGAAATTCACACTCGAAAGAAAAATGTTCATAAACTCCCTCATAGCCTCATTATTACATCCCATGTTGTGGCCTGACTGTGCCAGCAGCTAAATGATATACGTTGGAAAGTTACTTTGAATGTCATCATAGTTTAGAGCATGCACCACCGTCGGAAGACGTTTGTGTGTGAAGGTGGCGATGGTGTCGCTTAGAGTGGGGAGCGGTAGTGGCAGCAGTTAGTGCGCTGCGCTACAAACCCGGGGGCCCGGGTTCGACTCCCTCTCACGGACAACACCAGTGAGGAATATCTGAACCGGTCATGGGCCTCCCCTAGGTCGACTCAGCCTCAAATTAGTACCTGGTGCGGTGTGTAAACATCGCCACTTTCTGAGACAAAAGCGGCCGGGCGTGGTGCTGGCCACCCACCCCCCTCGTGTGCCGTGCCGGCCTTCATAGGTGCTCGCAAACAGCACTTGCCCCCTACAGTCTATTCGGGGGGTATCTTTGTCTTTGGTGTGTTTAGAGAATTTCAGGTAAAAAAGAAACATGACTGACATATTGCAGCCATAGCAGTCATTGTGTTGCTGTGCAGGCACTTGTGTCAATAGTTTGGGTTACACACAGAAGCAATTTTGTACAATTGCAACACACACACTAAACTTCCTGTTTGTAGTTTGGGCACGCATTGCCCAATCAACGATGGAGAGACATTGGGAGACAGACCAGCTGTACAGCAACTCGAGTGTTGAAGTTTGCTCCCACTGAGTATTGTAATGTGCCCATTTATCGGCTAACAAAACACCATTCACTGTCCAGTATTGCACAATGCAGTCACGTATTGTGCAGAATTTAACTTTAGATGGCACGCCGAGCTGAAACATTGACAGATTGGCACTAGGTTACTGTAGTTAACAACGGTACAATTACAGATAAAAGGATACTGGCACATCCGATTAGCACGGTTGGCTACATACGGTGCGAAAGAAGTTCAACAATAACTAAACTTTTTATTTGACCGGGTAACGTACGAACGATACTGAAAAGCTGCGCGCCCCGTATCAGTGGAAACACCTTCAAACTTTCTAGGCTAAAGCGGCACTGTACTGTATTCTCAAGACATGCATCAGTGAGCAGCTGCCCACTCTCTCACTGTCAAGAGAGCTGCGTTCTCCCGTTGAAGAGGCTGCTGCCGCCTTTAAGTTCGCTAACCCTATGTGAGGACAGTGGGATTTAACAAACAAAAAAATCCTAAACCATAAAAACATCGAAAAAACAGACTTCACAAACCTGCCAATGAAACCATTTTAACGATATATACTTTACAGAAGTTTTAGGATTTTTTACGACCATAAAACGTGATAGGTTTCTGAGAATTAAGAGCATTCTGGGAGGCACAAAGGAAGAATTGTGGTTGTGGTTACGGACTAGGACCAGTGGTGTGGCGGCTATCGACTGTGCAAGCGCCTTGCAAATGCACTGAGGGCTCACGGGCTGGAGGAGGGAGAACGGTCGCAGGCTATGGAAAGCGGGAAAATTGTCCAGAGGCCCCCCCCGCCCCCCATTTAATTTCGCGAACCAGGGTTCATTCATGCCAACCATGCTACGCCACCACTGCATGTGACACAACGAGGGTGCCACCTGTCTTAGTTTTCTGAGGATCGTCTTCTTTTTCGAGATAGCTGTCCTGGGGAATATGTACGTTTTAATGTCTGGATTATTAAACTATAAAAGTCTAGTTTTTTTGTAGATTGTATGTAGGTTCCCCATCTTCCAGTATTGAGATATTATTGCTGTTGTTTGTCCCGTTTTTTTGTACTTCTGGATTAGCAACATCAGACGCAATGCACACGCGGCCTTCTTGGATCCCATCGTCACCCCGACTTCCTGAGACTTTTCTAACCTTAGGCTCTGAAAACCACCCATTTCACGGTGGCGAGATGTTAAATACCTCGCCTGATATACAGAAGGTCGTGGGTTTGATCCGAACTCTGACGCCTGTATATTTGGAGTTTGCATGATCTCCCCGTGGTCGTTGGATTTTTCTCCGGGTCCTCTGGTTTTCCCCTCCACATTTAGAAAAAAGCATTTAGAGTATTCGGCTGCTATAGATTTCCATAATGACAAGCCACTTCGGTGATCCGTCATTTGTGGCCAGGTCGCTTTTGAAAAAAGAGCTACATAGCTCAGTGGGCCTTACCTGGTAAAATAAATATATTTTACAGTTTTTCGTTCAAAATAGTTTAAGAGGCATAGATCATAACGCATGAGTCAATTAGTTACCTCATCTTCGCCACACTTCGCATTTTGTGTTAAAATGACATTTGTGGCTAGCAGCGAATAAAATAATTCCTCAAGCCTGTTGACTTTCATGTAACATAATTTTTATTTGTAAAAGCCTCTGCATGCCTCACACTGCCACGACTAGATTTAGATTTGATGTGTGTTTGTATGTATGTATGTATCTTTGAACTTCTTTCGCATCGTACGTAGCCAACCGTGCTAATTGGAGGTGCGGCGGGGAAGAACAACGAAATAAACACAAAAATCAGTTCTCAACAAATTAGTTTTAAATCTAGATTTTAAAAGTGAACCACCTCCCAGTGGCTTCCTACTATGGGAAGGAAGACTTGCCCATGTACACCGTATGCAATCACTCAAAATGGATAGATAAAAAAACGTACCCACTTCTGCACACATCGGTGCGATGCTTTGAGCAAGTAGGTATTGCACATTTTTTGGGGTGTGGCAAAGGGGGATTAAGCTGACAGAAAGAGACGACCTTATGGATCACGGAAAGCCCATGGAACAATGCTGATATGCGAGGGAAAGTATATTGCAGTGCAGAGACGAACTGGCATGCAAATCTTAGACAGAAAACTATTTAAACTACTTTAGGTGACCCAGTCCCTTAACAGATGTAATACTTTAAACACCAAACTATCCACGAATTGTATTATTTCACATGCGATGTACATTTTCGTGTTACGTGGTGGTCAGCTGAGGGCAGTGTCGTGAAATTATGTTATGTTCTCCGCCTATAGCAACTCACACTGTTCAGCGTGAAGTATGATCAAATAACCTCCCTGCCCATTCAGGAGTAAATTTCCACAGGAGCTGTACATGTTCAACCGGTCCCTGCCAGAGCAATGTTTGAATGCCCCCTTGGTTTGGGACCACCGACAGTGGTGTAGACAGATCGACCCTCGAGTTAAAACCTCTTTTCAGGAGCTACAGTTAACGGTGGAGCGCTTGAATGCGCACACACATGGAGACGAAAAGGGTCAAACACCATTCCAGACGTCTATTAAAACCTACCCAAAATACAACTTAATGCAACACACACATACACAAAAGGGCCGTTTGACCAGGGGAACACTTTGTACAGTGTTGTTATCTGTGCAGTGTGTAGGTGAAGTCTGGGTGCTGTTGTTGTTACGGGAAGGTTCTCCGACACGGGGAGACATTATCTGCGTTTTTATCTCATTTGCGCTGGAGTTGCTGGGCCAAAGTTGGCCCTACTGGCAAGTGCGAAGTGCAAACGGCAAACTGCGGCACAAAAATAATAATGTTTGTGGACATGTCTGCGTAAACAACACCGGGGCGCCGCAGCTTTTATATTTCCCAGCGGAAAGAAAGCAAGCGCCTCTAATAAACATTAACCCGCCAGAGGGCACGGCCTCTGGAGCCCGACTAGTGGCCAAGGTACGCGGGAGCGTGCCCTCTGAGTCCTGGCGAACCAATCTGCCATCAACATTTGCCCAATGGCCACTAGCTGAGGCCGCTTATCCAGAATTAGAATATGTATTTATATTACTGGAGGAGATCCGATGAGCTATACGGCACTTTACATATGTCCAGTAAGTGGCAGGCCAGAACGTGGCAACGAACAAAATACAAAAAAACACGATTGGAGTGTAAAGTATAGGAAATGTAAACCAATCACTTTAAAAATAATTTACAAATTAAACTAACTTTTTTTTTATCTTACCAGGTAAAGCCCACTGAGCTCTTAGATTATTTTTCAGAAGCGACCTGGCCGCCTATCCAGTCGTGTGTCTTCTGCCAAATGGCAGCCTCCAGCTCAAACTCCCTCCTAGATCATCTCCGACCGTGAACTTTCTTCACAACACTAAAAAAAGGCAACCGAAACCCTTCCGTCAAGTCGTCGGGCAGCATTTTTTTAGTCTGCCTCTTTGTCCTTTTCCCCAACATCCCCTACTCGATCCAGAGCCCATTCCATAAAGCTTTCACCTCTGAAACGTGGCCAAATGCAGATATTTGTCTTCTCTAGATTTGTTTAATTTAACAACACTCGTCTCCTCCTGAACCTGCTCAAGATCTTCAGGATTTCTCGTTCCCTCCACCCAATACATTTGATCAATTTGACGCCACAAGTCACGCATCTCAAGGCTTTGCAGCCTTCTCCTGTCTTCCTTGCCGAAGAGTCCGAGGCTTCTGCTGCGTACAACCCCATGCAATATAAATTATGTCCATCCGTAATAGTTACACTCCATTTTATTAGGGTCTTCACGAGTCTCGTGTACAACATATTAAACTTTCTGCTCATTAATCTCGTCAAAGGCATCCCTTGCGAGCTGCTTTTCCCACGGAAACCTTGGTCCTCGTCTCCCCCCACCCCCACCAGCATTTGTCATAATTAGAATACTTCCCGGATGAGTAGCCCTCACTGTATCCTGAACTTCTTTCGCACCGTACGTAGCCAACCGCGCTAATCTCAGCTGCGGGCGGCGGGGTGAACAAACTACCCGCTGTCCAATCCTCGACTTTCCGACGTGCATCACCATTCGGTGATGGTGTCGCCTAATGAACAGTCGTAGAAGCCATTGGGCGAAACACTTCCAACCTCGCCTCTCGCAACAGTTGCTCAGCTCAAACATGAATTAGTGTTGCGTTGGGAAGGATGCGAACGGCACTCGTCCGCTCCGTGAGATTTAAAAAAAAACAACAACCCAGAATCGCCCTTTCTTACACCTAGTGTGAAATAACAATCACATCCCGATCCGCCGCGGTGTGAAATTATTTAAAACAAAAAAAAACCGCCTCCGCCGCGCGCTGTACCAAATACGGCGCACGAAAACACGGCTACTCTTAATCGCAGTGGGAAATACAAATACGCACGCGCGTATGCGCAGTGGTGAATCTGATTTCCCGTCACGCGCTTCTCGCACGCGATCGCGGGGGTGGGGGAGGGAGGAGGGGGGTGAGCACGCGCTCGAGCCCCGCCCCTCGCCACCCCCACCGATGGGATGAGGAGCGGGGAGGGGGCTGATAGTCGAACCAGCGGTGAGAGAGTTTTGGTGTTGGTCGTGGGGGGAGTTGTTGAAACACTGAGAGACGACGTCGAGAGAGACACGGCAGGCACAGGCAGACACACACACACATAGACACGCGCACGTTCGTGTAGAGAGACAAGGCCCCCCGCCAGAGAGAGAGGGAGAGGAGAGAGAGAGAGCGGCTGACTTGCGGTGACGAAGCGAGAGAGATATTTCGACCAGCGGAAGCGCAGGAGGGGACGTGGAGTTCGCTTCTCAGGCGGAGGACAAGCCGGAGACAGGGGGTGGTGGTGGGGGTGTCTCAACCCGGGGACTCCCGGCCTGAAGAAGAAGATGATGGAGACGCTGGGACACGGCGACTCGCAACAGGTACTGTGTCGTGTGGGTTATAGGTATTGATCGAGGCAGAGGTGCTGGGACATGGTACGCAGATAGGGGTATGGGGCAGGTCTGGGGCATGGACAGGGGGCACGGAGAGTGGACCTGGTAGGGGGCGTGGGCATCTCGGATGTATTGGGGTCAGGCAGGGACAATCGGGCAGGAAAGGGCAGTACATAGGGCATGGCGGTGATAACAATAGGCGGCAGGGACACGGCTCTTGTAATGCCACACATGTTGGAAGACGTGAGCCTACCAGATCGATGTGCACAGTTGAAGCTCACGGAGCAATTGCTCCATAATCTTCATAGCCTCATTATTACATCCCATGTTGTGGGCCTGACTGTTGTCAGCAGCTCAATGATGTACGTTGGAAAGTCACTTTGAATGTCATCATAGTTTAGAGCATGCACCACCGTCGGAAGACGTTTGTGTGTGAAGGTGGCGATGGTGTCGCTTAGAGTGGGGAGCGGTGGTGTAGCGGTTAGCGCGCTGCGCTATGAACCTGGCGACCCGGGTTTGATTCCCGCTCACGGCCAACACCGGTGACGATTATCTGAAACCGGTCCTGGGCCTCCCCTAGGTCGACTCAGCCTCAAATGAGTACCTGGTGCGGTGGATAAAAACATTGCCACTGGGGAGACTAAGGCGGTCGGGCGTGGTGCTGGCCACCCACCCCCTCGTGTACCGTTCCTACAGTCTGTTAAGGCTGTATTGGGGATCTTTGTCTTTGTTGTCCGTGCAGGTCTGTACTTGGTCGGGCCGTGGTAGGAGTGGGTTTTGACAGGTCATAGGGCAAGTCACCGCTTGACACTTGGTCGATTCAACTTTTTTCTCATGCTGTGTTGTCCAGAACACAGTTGGAACTTTGCCATTCCACGCTCAACATGTGTGTGCGGTGTGTGCGGTTTTAGCTTTACGCGTTAAATGATGACCGTGAAGAACGCTTTTATAGTGAACTGACTCCAGAGTAGGTACTGTTAAACGTGTCTGGGTTCAGCCAGCAGTGAGAAATCTGCGTGATGTAAAGTCGCGTGTCCTTCGCGTGCGGTTTACGTAACGAAGCATTACGCTTCCCGGCGGTTAAATAAGTGTATAGTAGCATTCATTTCTGCTTTGTTTTTAGTGTTTAAAAGGTGATGATAGGTCGCTGTGTTTGAACTATATTTACGGTAAGCGCCTGTGCCGAACAAAGCCTGTGAAGCGTAACAACATCAGGTAATTTGCTCAGGTTTCCAATGAAGCTCGGAAAACATTCCTCGAAATTATCGCAATTGTGAAATCACAGTACGGCACTAACTATAAGACGTGTTAATTGATGGGATAAAGTATTTACAGTACAACGTACTGACGGAAATAGTGGCAGCAGTCAACATTTCCGCATTTAAATAGATATATATTTTTAAAATCTGTTTCTGCTCAAACAAGCGTTTAGTTATCGTGCTCATTGACAAACCCAAGCTCGTGGTGGAAAATCCACATTCCTATGGCGTGCTTAGTGTATTGATAGGGCAAGCACTACTGCTGAATAGTATGGGGGTTCAATTTGGTAACTTGTCGGAGCGAAATGGTATATAGCATAGGTAAGCCACTATTCAGCCCGAGACAATTGAACATACTGTCTGGTACCCTTTGACGTCATACATCTCCTGTTGTGAATGTGCCTGTATTTTCTTCTTAATTTCCTGAAAAGTGTCAAGTGGGAATGTCACCAAACGTCGAAACTCGCGCGGTTTATGTTGGTGTGGCAAACTCCTGGCCATAGTGATGGGTACAGCTGCTGTTTCAAGCGACTTGCTATGCAGTCTCTCCCCCAGATGGCCTTCGCTCTAAATGTCGTCATGTGGGTCCCGTGATGGCTCCACAAAGGGCGACATTCACGGGGCCTGAGTGCGATTGCTTTGGGGGTTCTGACAATCCACTCGTATCGGGGGCGTGGGTATGGAAATCGTGGTAACGGGGCAGCAGTGGTAGTAATGTGCGTAGTGGTACGAACCCCGGCAACCAGAGTTCGATCGTCACTCACGGCCAACACCGGTGAGAAATATATGAACCGGGTGCTGGCCCTCCCCTAGGTCGACCCAGCCGCAAATAAATACCCGGTGCGATGTGTAAACATTGCTACAAGGGGGACAAAGGCGGCCGGGCGTGGTGCTGGCCACCAATCCCCATCGCGTACCGTTCGGCCTGCATAAGTGCTCGCTAACAGCACTTGCCCCAACAGCATGTTAAGGCTATGCGGGGGATCTTTGTCTTTGTGCGCGCATATATTTATTTTGGATCTGTCTGTGCCGCTGAAATGGCGGTCCTTGTTGATTTTCGTCCAGTGCATGAGTGGAGAGAGCCACCACTGATCGTTGTCAAATCTATGCATCGAAATTCGCCAACTTGTAACAACAATGCCCAACTTAGCTTTTGGATAAACAAGGCGATCGATAATGCCACATACACCCAGTCACACAGTTGCGTTTATTCCTCACTCTGTCTCTCCCTCCTCCATCCTCAAATGCACGCTCACGACTGTATTTGCAACAAACAAAAAATGCCCCTTTTTGTTCGTTGCACGTGGTTACATTTTAGTGAACACGATCATACGTGATGTTATTATCCAGCGGTGTACGATGTCCAAATGGAAATGCAAGTCACGGCGGGGGACGTCGGGGGGTATTCGGACGCACGCACACCGCCGTGCTTTATTTGGCCACTCGTTGTGGGGGAGAGAAAAAAAACGAAGTTAGCACGAAACGAATGTGGATTTTGTCAGACAGCAATCGGAGCTTCACGGAACGAGGAGGAGGAGGAGGATGAGTGCAGTACAGTTGGGAGTGTCGCGGTCATTTTAATGCTCGAAATGACCCGAGGGTAAAATAGCTGGTAGCACACTCCTCTGCTGAACCCTCCTCCCTATTGCACACACGACACTCCACTCTCTCTCACCAGAGTTGCGTGCAGAGGCGAAGGTCACGCGTTGCGTCACAACTAGGGCGCAGCTGACAGGCACATCCAGATAACGCACACACACACTCACCGCAGGCATACTCTACTTTTTTTTAGGTGGGATGTACACACACGTGAGTCCGTGGCAGGTCTGCCTAAGAGCTTTCACTTGTATTGCCCCTTAGTGCCTGACTTCAATTGTTTTTAAAGGCAATGCCGTTAAAGTCCGTTCAAGCTCCTCGAGCTATTGGATTGTGATCGTGCTGGGATGCCGAGTTTGTGATCGCAGCACGAGATTGCTGCGTTCGTTTAAGGAGAAGAGGCAGCTTGCGACAGACTCGCTGTGGAACCCACATGCGTGCATTCCGACTGCTGTAATTGTGCACAGCACACTTATGTCTTTCACATGTTGGATGAGAGAAACCACGTGACACGCCGCAACCCATATACTTTTTTTTTAGGGACCGTTTATTTTTCCAAGCATTTCCATTGCTACAATTATTATAATTTGTTTTACCCAGAGACGTCCACTCCTTTAAATGGGAACATGTTTACTGGAGAACATTATTGTGGGCATAACTCAAAAATGTGGTCACAATTCTGGAGATATACAGTATGCCAAAAAAACCGAATGTCTTTGTGCATGTGTGTATCATCGTCATCGCCCATGATCACTCCACTGCCAGATGAAGGCCTGCATGTGTAGACCAGCATAGTAAAACGCCTCCTCGCATTATCTCTTGCTGCTGTGCACCCCTGGGTGGGATGATGAAATGTAGATACAGTACAGTGTCGAGATAAGAGGAATGCTTAGGTTTTCTTTCTCGTTATTTGCTGTTCAGGCGGCACATTGTGAATTCGCATTGAGTTTGGTCATTCACGTTGGATTATCGTAGACTTTTATGTATTCATGTGACAGCACAGTGTGCAAGCTGGTGATTCAAATAATCCGGAATGAACCCCGATGTCATCGAATCTCAGAAGCTAAGCAGGTGTGAGCCTGGGCAATGCTTGAATGTGTGACCACCATGTTAAACAGGTTGTGTTATTGTTATAGGTAAGCAGGCAAAAGGTTGGCTGCAAAATATATTTTTTGTACCGTAATTAAACGCTCCCTCCCCATCCACGTTTCCCACCTTCACCAATCCGTATTGACCAGCCTGGTGAAGTATGGTCAAATAACTCCCACTACCCACATGGCATGGTAAGGCCCTCATCCAGCAGTGGATTAATAAAGGTCTCTGCGTGTACGTTGTATGCATACTCTTGTGACGGATAACAACTCTACAGATAATTCGCCAAACATTGTTGTTGATTGCTCTGCCTAATCCTCTTGGTCACGCTGTTAAAGTATTTACTTAAGAATGCCCCACTAAATCTTAAGCTTTTGTCAGCATGGTCCAGTTTTTGAATGATGAGCTTTCTGCTTGTGGGAGGAAGACACCGTACCCAGTACAACCCACACAGACGAGGGGAGAACGCTACAAAAAAAATCCGCACGGACAGGTTTACTGGCCTTCCGTAGGTATAAAATGTATAAGGATTACTTCACATATACAGTGAGGGAAAAAGTATTTGATTTGTACGTTTGCCCACTAACAAAGAAATTATCAGTCTATAATTTTAATGGTAGGTTTATTTGAACAGTGAGAGACAGAATAACAACAACAAAGTCCAAAAAACGCATGTCAAAAATGTTATAAATTGATTTGCATTTTAATAAGGGAAATAGGTATTTGACCCCTCTGCAAAACATGACTTAGTACTTGGTGGTAAAACCCTTGTTGGCAATCACAGAGATCAGACGTTTCTTGTAATTGGCCACCAGGTTTGCACACATCTCAGGAGGGATTTTATCTCACTCCTCTTTGCAGATCTTCTCCAAGTCATTAAGGTTTCGAGGCTGACATTTGGCAACTCGAACCTTCAGCTCCATCCACAGATTTTCTATGGGATTAAGGTCTGGAGACTGGCTAGGCCACTCCAGGACCTTAATGTGCTTCTTCTTGAGCCACTCCTTTGTTGCCTTGGCCGTGTGTTTTGGGTCATTGTCA